TATAATTAATAAATTTTATTGTAATGTATTTAATTGTTCTTTATTTAAAAAACATTTCATATCATGATTAAATAGAATGGAAGTTTCAAAGATTATAATTATCATGCTCTGCATTTATTATTATGCAAAAATCTAAATGCATTATATTAACATATTATCCATTTCTTTCACTTTCTTAAGGTACACGATTACAGATCTCATTGCACACATTTCTTCCACCGATAATTAACAGCCATCACCCACAGTGAGAGAGAAAAAAATACAACTGGTCAACTTCAAATATATCTTTATATCTTCAAATAGATCATACAAAGCAATTTTTTGGTGACCCACGGAAATAACCATACGAAAGTATATTTACATTATAAGCAAACAAGTAAATTAACCTTCTGGCCTATTTCAAAGAATTGCAAGCCTCACCAGAGCATTCACTTGCCACAGCAGAAATCTGGCCATCCTAGTAAGTGCCTGGTCCATATATCACACCAATTTCAAATAGATGTCAGCAGAATTAAAATATAAAATGAAAATGCATTATAAATTTACAGTCTTCCTCACATTTCATCATTTAAGAATGGAATTAAATTTCTTTTTATGATGTGGGATATTCTTCCATGACTGAGATTCTGGTGCTGTTAATGTAGAAATATATCTGTAGGAAATTGGAAGTGATGCACAATAATCACTGTAGCCATATCTACAAAATTTGAGGAAAAAAGATGCTTATTTGTACAGTGGTATGTACCAATTTAAGTGTCTTAGTATGAACACTTAAAATTTACATTCAACTGCCTGCAGATTCTATCCAACAAGAAAATGAATCTTAAGATTACAGTAATACACAAGTCCTTCACAGTACAAAATTAACCTTTTGTATGTACATAACAGTCAGGCAATTCATGTTAAAAATTGGCTGCAACCACATATGCTATTAATTCACTTCTGTACTGCCTTCTGAACATTTTAAGACATGGATAAATTACACTGCTCATTCTCCAACATGCGGTTTACCTCAAGATCTGAATTTCCCTCAATGTTGTTATGCCAAATACTGGAATACTGCCATAATGAATGAAGCAATTAACTTCCTCAAAATAAAACTCTTCACAAAATCCAAAGCTGACAACAGAACCAAATTTAATGACACAAGCCATGTTTAACAATCCTATCTTACTCACATTCATACAATTAATAAAGCCACAAGATTCAGAATATGTACTGGTAACACATTTAATAGTTCTAAAAAAATACAAAAAGCAAATAAATTTTGAAATCAAGTAAGTTCAGCATAATGACCTGAACACTGAATCACAAATGTATTCTGCAGAAGATTCCCAAGGTTTCTGTATATAATTTTTGTAACAGCAAACTTCACTATAACACTTAATGAATGTAAATAACCATTAAAATTACAATCTAATAGCTGATTCCACTTCCATACAATACATTAAGCTGGAATTCTAGCCAAACAGCCTAAAAAGCAATGATTACTGAAACAGTATTGCCTGCCAGGATGTGATGATGTGTAGTTTGGTGTTAAGTTACCATTACTGCAGAGGAAACTGTTACCACCATATTCAGGTTAAAGGTTTTCCTGGAACTCAGGCTACATGGCATCACATTCACTGGTATGAGAACCTCACACCTCATAAACAATTATTTCCTTCTTGACTGTGCATGAATTGGGGAGGAGAATATAAGATTGACAGGATCTTCAGTTCCAGTCCATTGGAGTGGAGGGGGGGGGAGAGAGAGAGGAAAGAGGGTCAGTGTGAGCTTGACTGAATCATCTCTACATCCTAGCAAGAGATTCATATTTTGTAATTCAAAATATGTTCCTCCACAACATGTTGTGTGCAGTAAATCCATCAGCAATTTGAGATTAAAAGAAAATGGCTTGTCTTTCATGGTAATCTGACTCAAGAGCATTCAAGAGGTAAACTGTGAATGGCTCAAGTTCATCTCTCTTGGTCATACCTTTCCTGTATGTAATTGAATTTTCATGATGCTTTGCTCCCTCCAAAAGAAAAACAAGAACCTGAGTATGAAAATTTTGTATTATTTCACATATTTTTAATTCCATTTTAGTGAAGACCAAAAAAATAAAATAATTTGTCTAAAATTTATTTATAAATGGCTAAAACGAGTGATATTAACTTACTTACAAACCTGTACTGAACACACACTGCTGAACCTACCACAAAATGTAGTTTCCTGTATCTATGTCCAGTACACTACGAATTCATTGTTAAGAACAAACAAAAAGTTTTCTCAGTAACATCAAATGTCACACAGTCTCATGCTGTGCAAAACAGCCCTGCTGCTGTGGCTGTTGAGTTTGATTTGAAATTCCTGAATGTGGGGGAAATCAAAGGTGTGAAATGTAATGTCCACTCATGTGCACTTCCAAATGTAGAGAAAAGTATCTTCCTTATGTAATGTAATGCAATGCTTGTTTCTGAACATTTGCCATATTACGTACATAAGGCAGTACTTTTCCCATACATTTTCCTCCATATTTACTGGCTTTAACATACTGGCACCCACCACCGAATATATTATCACCAGGCAAGTTCCAGATATTGCACTAACACAATAAAAATTAATGTACATTACAATCATATTTATATTACACTTCTATTCTTTAGTAATTTCATATCCCGCCATGTTGTTTTCAATTAACTGTGCTATAAAACGATAATTATAAGAACGAATGCACTATTCACAAGCAATACATGTAATGCAAAAATATGTACATATACTGTTTTACATCAATTCCCTTATAACTGGTTTCATTTTCCATATTCATCACATGAGACATGGTGAATAAATAATGTATACAAATGATTAAATAGTGAGGTCTGAAAATAAGTATGAAAAATCTGCAGATCCTTAAAACTGCTGGTATTAGGATAGAATCTTCTGGCATCTCAAAGTCTGGTCTGACTCAGGAGAGATGATATACTTATCACAGTTTATACAGGCTTAAATGAGGCTAGTACAAATGATCTGAAAACCAGTTCTTTTGGAGAAGTCTGGCTGCACTGGTTATCCAAATAAAAGATCAAAAAAGGAGGAAACCCACTCAAAGAGGCTTGGAAAGCCCCAGTTTGTGGTGGTGGTGGATGAGGACGAGGTTCTTATAGATGTGCAGCTAATCATAAAATGGAAAGGAAGTACATTTTATTTTTTGCAAAACTTGCACAGACAAATCCTGTCTCCATACAACATAGTTTTGAATAATGTCACATGAAGACAACTTTGTGAATGAGTACAGTAAAATGAACACTAATATTTCATGAGCTGCAAATCCTGTGATTTTATAAAATGTGTTAGCACAGATATAAAGCAATCAGATGCTCTGTCACAAGTAGAAAATCTACTGCTGATGAACATATGGTGAGCTGAATAGTACTATCTTCTGGGATATAATGCCATGTAGACCACTGAAAGTCAACTGATGTTTTGGAGGAACATATTGCCTTCATCCTCAGGTTAGAACAATAAGCCACCTGCTTTCCCTATCTTTTATTATGTGAGACCATGTGGTTGCAGATGTTTCAGAGGAAAGTACTGCCTTCAACTTCAGGCCTTAAAGATGGTGGCAATATACTGTGCTGGAATATCATGAACTTCTAAGAGACTACATGCTGTCAGATCCCAAAAGATGGTACTTTTTACAGTCACTTCTGTGAGAACCTCAAATCCAACACTAACACCTGAAGAAGGGGAACTGACTCAGGGTAGCTCCAGGAAAGAACTGGACAACAAAATTAATAAGAGATATTAAGAATGGAACAATTAAAAAATGGACGATTATCTGTGAAATTAACTTTAAAGCAAACATGAATGCATCATTCTCATTGCAAGCATAATTCAACCATTGTGAGAAATTTTTTATCCCATGAAATGTCTACTTTTCTCTTTTATGCACAAGAGGCAAAGCCAAATAGCAGAAATCAACTTGGTCATTATATCTATACAAAATCAATTACTGCTTTGCAGATATATTTTATGACACACTGGCAATGTACACTGTCAAGGTCAAGAAATGTGGAGTTTTGCCTCCACTCCCCCATATGTCTTCATACCATAATACTAAACTAATTACACACTGGGATAACTTTGCCTTTTCTTTACCTGGCAATCTACATTAAAAAAATCACACAATCAAGATGCAAAGTATTAAAAAATAAAGAACACTACATTTGAAAGTTTAAATAAAAAACTAACATGATACTCTGTAATTCTCAATCTGAGAAATTTAAGGAATCTTTGACAACTAGCCATTAAGGTACACTGAGATTATGTGGATGTACTGATAGCCACATGACTGATGCTTCCTGTGACATCAATTTAATCGACAAGAATAACTGTTATTTATAATTCTGAAGCCTTTAAACTCAATACAATCAAACGGCAAGTTCGTAACAAATGGATCTTTGAAACAATACACATTAATTTTTTATTTAATCTTTCTAAAGCCAAATTAAAACTTGCATTAAAGTTATCACATCTGTGTGTTGGAATCAACTGTCTGTGAACAAAATTCAGACATATAGAAAAGATTATTACAATCTAGATTATGCAGTAAGTATTTTGAGAATAGTTAAAAGTATATGCTCTTAATGGCTAATGACAAATGCCTGGAAGCATAACAGAGAACACAGTGACAACTCTGCCATGTGCAATACCAAATGAATATAATTTTCAATATCTGAAAAATTTCACTATATACTGAATTCTTTTTCCCTCCTTTGATGCTGAAAATTTTCTTACAAGACTTAAGCAGATATCAGCCTCATGCTAGAAATTACTGGCTGAGCCTCTCAACAGCTGGCAGAGAATAAGTAGTCATGGACTTTACTACTTCCTAGTAGTAGGGAGAAAAATAATGCAAAATTCCAAAAAGGTTCTATCATAAATTAAATACAAAATATACTGAGATGTAATTCAGTTACTGAATAAGGAAATAAACACACTGGTTACATAACTGACTGTAATACTAATGACGTATAACCCACTTCACACCCTACTAAACTTACCACAAGAGACATATACATCAACAACACCATTATCATCATGAACCATGCACAATTAGGTTTAAATGCCTATTTCTACAACTACCAATATTAAACTAGGCAATTAATACAGGAGTGATTTCATTCCTGTTGGTTCTGGGTTAAGAGAATGCAGCCTGTTATATTCAGTTCTTACTAACACATTATATGAATATGAACAAATTATGACAGTTTCTCACATGGCCAGAGATCCACTCTTCAAGTAAACTTGGATTTTAGCATAAATCTGATTTATCCAACTTTACACATCAATAAAAACAGAGTTTCATTGAAATTAACAGCTTAAGGTTCATGCACGTATACTGGAGCAGCAAGTCGACGAATGAAAGGGAGTTAAGCAAAGAGAAAATCATGGAAAAAAAATTGGAGTCCAAATGTATTGAATACTACATCGAATGAAGTTCCATGCAAGAACAGCTTATTCACATTAAAGTATATGGCAGACGCCACGGGTGGAAAGTATCGACAGTATTCAATAATTAATGCTCTACTGATTGAGGAAAGTGTCATATGAAGCAAAGATAAACTAATTTCCTTTATTTTATCTTTTGTTTCTCTCTGATTGTCACTTAAACCCCTGTTTTGCATGGGTAGGAACTATCAATAAGCCAGACCAATATCTAAAGCTCCAACACTGTAAGAAAGTGCTGGATCATGATAAAAAGCTGATTTGTTCTTTCCATCTGAGAAAGGCCAGTAGTGAGAGATCACACTTAATTTTGCACATTCAGGCATGTTTACATTCCTTGATTTCACCACTTTCTTTGCTGCTCCATTATGCATGTACCCTACTTATCACAGTGGCTTTAGCCAAATGTACGACTCATACATAACGCTTCTGAATCAGATACATATTGTTATCACTAAATCAACAGCACTGCTGGCAAAAAAAGTGGGCCATGTATAAATTTCACCATGACAAAAATGTGCAATATGACACATTCATAATTTTGTTTATATCATATATAAATAGCCTGCACCACACTGCTGGGGGGGAAAAGTGTGCCTTGTATAAATTTCACCAAGACAAAAAGAAAATAATTCCAAATCTACATGATTACTTGAACAACAGAACTTCACTCAATTAACCTTGGCACAATAGCTCTGACCAACTGTGCATTAAACAGAATGGCGAGATTGTGATTCTGCCATAGGTACGTGACATGGGTCAACTACTGGCTGCGAAGCTCCTTACCAACACTGTATGACACTATTTTATTCCAGTCAATCTTTGCGCGTGTGACTGGCAACTGACGGCGCAGAGCTTTGAATGTGGTGTCAGACATGGTCTGGTAGTTTTCAGAAATTGCACACTGGTATTCTGATTCTGCAGTTTCCACCTGCCGAACAAATTCCTTGGCAAGTTCTGCAGGAGATGTGGATGTTAAATTCTCCTTCACATCCTTGGAGCTTACAAGCTGGACATTTCCGTCTTCATAGTAGTGTACCTATTTATAAAAATATCAGTATTACTGCACATAATATGTTGAATCATTTTGTGGTCTTATGGGTAGGAAGAGGCAGAACAATCCTCTAGAAACAATGGTAGCCACCTCCCAGATTACTTGGCATTACACAAGATCATACTGTGCACATATGCTAAAAGCAAGAATTGTAGAGACAGAAGAAACGTCCATTGCAAGGTAACAACACATGACTCGGTGTTTTCCATGTGGTCCATGCCAAGTTCCCACAGCAACAGGGATGTGTGCAACAAAAGAGGAAGCAGCGTTTTCTATCCGACCCGCAATGAAGCTACACAAGGAATCACTTTTGAATTATGAGTCAGTTCAGCTCCAAACATACTAAATGAAGAAAGTACCAGAGAATTGGAGGCAGCAGTCAGAATATGAGGTTTGCATGAGATGATCGCCACCCTGTGTGGATGTGTCCAGAAGCAGAGTAACATACACCACTGGAAACCAATGCCAAGCAACATGACTGAGGACACTAGTCTGTGTGATAGCAATTTGTGAAGTGCATTTATGAGCTGTAAAAGCATCGAATAAATCCAGCTATCAAGCCAAAACCCATCTATCATCACTCGAACACGTGCCATTATTATTATACCTTGCTGCCAATGAAACCTCACATTTTATATAAAAAATGGAATCAAATGTAGAAAGTATATCATAAGCTCTAGGACACATTAAATGATTATAAAAAGCACATGTGAAAATTATATAAATATTACATAATGCCACAAAATATGAAATTTAGACATTTCAAAACTAATTTTCCAAAATGGGTAAAAATCGTTTAAAATACAAAACCTTCCAAATTCTAGCTATTTACTAAATGGTAAAATTACTTTTATCCTTGAAATATTCAAGAACAAAGGAATCACTTTCCAGCTGACCAACGAACTTTCCCACCATTCACATCATAATTATATATTATACATCATATCTGACAAAAAAGTTGCACGTTTTTCAAATTTCATTCATCGAAGAATTGTGTCCAGTTTTATCCAAATTTGTGACGACTATGCTAGAATGCGTTCAATGATCGAAGCAACCTGACAGATGCATAGAGCGCAGACATTTCTCAGATTGCTGCTGTAACTGCTGATAGCTGACTGAGTCATTAGTGCTGATAAATGTGCGCCGTCAGGTGGTCTGATTGTGTCACTGCAGCAAGTCGCATTAATAGTCAGTCTGTGTTACAAGTGTTGATAGGCGGTGGACATTTATACTGAAATGAAGTTCACTATTGAATGGTGGGTTTATTGCCAAAAATTTTGCAAGGAAAAACTTACAGAAAATGTAGCCATAAGTTTTGTCATGAATATCCTGACTCACCAGTTCCCTACAGTCATATGTATGCAAGCTTGTGAAAAAGTGGTGGGCCACAGGTTCAGTGTGACATAAAGAAGCAATTGAAGAGGATCGTGCTGACTGAAGAAAAGGTTCGGGATACTGAGGCAAGACTACAGATCTGTCCTCGAAAATTGTTAAGGTGTTTAGCACAGGAAACCAGTGTTTCGCTAGGATCTGCTTTCACAGCCACAAAATTAATCAAATTTTGCCCACACAAATAACAGTTGTCCATGAGCTGAGACAACCAGATTATGCAGCAAGAATTCCTTTTTGCAACTGGCTGCTGCAAAATGTGTACGATGGAATTGTGGATCCACAGTTTCTGTTCATGACTGATGAAGCATGGTTTCATGTTAGTGGCCATGTCAATGCACAAAATGTAAGAATATGGAGCGATGAAAATCCTCATGCCATACACCAAGTGCAATTACATAGTGAAAAAGTGGGGGTGTGGTGAGCTGTAAGTCCATGGTGAATCACTGGCCCCTTATTTTCCCACGAAACTGTGAACTCTGACTGCTACATGAATGATTACTAAATCTGTACTTCAATCAGCTGACTGCTAAAGAAAGACAATATGAGTATTTTCAGCAAAGCCACGCTACAGCACATACGGCCAGTGCATCCATGGTCACAATAAAGGAAGTGTTTGAAGAAAGAATTATCAGCAGGGGACTGTGGCCTTCAAGATCCCCAGAGCTGTTTTTGCGATTTTTATCTTTGGGGAAACCTAAAGCAAAAAGTCTACAAGATAATCCTCGCAACACTGAAGCTCTGCAGAATGAAATATCATGCGTAATTAATTAGTTCATTTACCATGAACCAACTTAAGAAAGTGTCACATAATTTATTTATGTGATGTGAGGCATGTTTGCAAGCAGAAGGGGGTCACTTTCAGCACTTGTTATAAAGCACAGTTTGTGTTGCCTTCTTATAAATGTGTGCATGTACAGAAACTGATGTGAAGCAATCAGCAACACGACTGTACTTTCGCCAGCAGGGAAGGGCACAGTAGTCGCGGAGAAACATTCCACCCACTTTACGCTAGCGAGATTGCGCACGTTTATAAGTGCTAATGACTCATTCTGCTATTGGCAGTTACAGCAGCAATCTGTGAGAAATTTTGTGTCTGATCTAAGCTGCTGCCAGGTTTCCTCGATCATTGAATGCCTTGTACTTCTCTGCTTTCTTGTACATTAAGTTTATGTGCAAAAGTGCTGTGATGGCACAAATTAACAAGTTTTGAAATATTTCCATGTCTTCGGGAACCCTTGAACTTGAGACCACAGTATGAGGACAAGGGAAAAATGTCACTGTAAAGGGAGAACATCTTCCAGAGGAGAATATGGAAATACTGGCATGTACGTATATTTTCCTTGTAAAAATTCTAGGCCAACCTTGAAACACCTAGATATAACATGAGAAGATACTGTCATGTTTCAGGAGTGCTGGTTGTGTGTGTGTGTCTGTATGTACATACATATATAAATATGAATGTACACCTTGTTAGTGCCTGAACAGTTGGGAGTATATTATTTATATCTGGTAGTTACCAGTAGTTACAGGTCGATGTCAAGTCTAGCTCCAAAAATCGAGGCCCTTCCAATAGGTCTCAAAAACAAAATGGCGATTTTATCGAAAATGACTCCAATTTTGATTAAATTTTGGCAATTTATGGAGATCACCCTAAATAAATCGGCACAGGCAATACCTTCAGGAAAAAGGACCCAAATGTTTATGCAACACGTACACTCCTAGGTTGAGACAAACAATGGTTTGCCAAACAGCAATCACAATTGTTTCAAAGGTAATGATGTCAAGGACAACATAATACGAGAAACCAGCTTTAATGGCTGGGTTTCACTGTTGTTTGATAATCTGGAACCAACAATAGTCTACCAAGCAATAATCAATATCCTTTCAAAGATAATGTGATCGTCCTCCTCCTCTTCATCATCATCGCCATCATCATGGCCAGGGTCAACTGAATATGAGTAAGATGTGCAACATTTTTGCACCTACTTTAATAATGTCACATGTCTGGTGTTCCGTGAGGAATAGTAAAGGGTTCTCAGTCGGTGATCGGATTTATAGACACCTTCTTTTACAATCTCCCTTATTCACAATCAATTGTAGTGCTACTGCTAATCTACCCACTCCACAAATCACTAGGGCACGCTATCCATTTCCTGGCAACGGACTTATCACAGGAACTATCACTTCAAATCACTATGAAGTCTTCTTGGCATTTCTTGTTCAAACACCTTGGAATGCCCACCCTCCAGAACTTGACCTAATTCTCCAAAGTTAATTCTCTAACCCAATTATCTCATCCACTCCTAGCTACAGACTCTCGGTAAACAGACTTGGTACCAAAGACACAGAAAACACGTCTCACATGCCAGACTGCTTGTTCATTATTCCATTACCAGCACTGGGCATGGCGCGGACCACATATAGAACACTTCTTCTGTTGCCATTTATAAACACTCAGCATGGACCAAAGCCTCTCTATTGTTGTGTGATGTCACAGTGTATGCAAAATGTGTTTAGCATGCATTACATAGCAAAAGTCCGTACATGGACCGCAGAAGACACTGCTTCTGTATTGTTGGCCGCGTGTTGTGGGCGTTGCCTAGAAATGGGGCTACACATCACAATACTGTCTTCACGCTATTTCAAAACCAATTTTACCAAAATGAAATTAATAAAAAAAATCAACTCACATAATAAAAGTAAGAAACATTAGAAAAATATATATTTCAATAACTGAGCTAAAAAGGTAAAGTTGTCCATGCTTAATTAAGCACTATGCCATGAAGGCATATGGGGGAGTGAATGTATAGATCCGCATTTTCTTAACCTCAGCACTGGCTGGAGGTGTGTGGTCAGCTTCACGCCCCCGGCCACCGTTCTTGGCCTCACCACTAGATGGAGGTGAGTAGTCCGCTGCACCCCCTAGCCGCTTTACCCTGGGAAAATCGTCCCTGGTACCCATCTGACAGAAGGCTGGGTGGACCCCACAGCCAGTCTGGATGCTACGTGGAAGAGAAAAATCTTGTCCCTGCCAAGAATTGAGCCCCTATATAAATGCATGCGTACAGCCTTGTTCCCGTCCTCTCCGCACATCCACCACTGAAAAAGAAATACCCTACCTGTACTTTGAGAATACCACGCAGCTCTATGGATGCTGATCCTTGGGGCAGAGTGATGCACCACTGGGAACGCCATCTACCATTCCAGTAGTTGTTGGGTTGGAACTGATGATCTTCAATACAGGCCGTTACAGTGCTTCCACCCTGATGGATTTTCCCAAATACACTGCAGACACCATTCTTGTAGTGGCTCATCGTGTATGTTGTCAGTTCTGATTCAATAGCTGAACGCCACTGTTCAGTTGTCGAGTCTGGTGTCCATGACTAGCAACAACCAGATGAGAAACTTAACAATGGGTGATATGAAGAACTACAGCAACACCTTTAACTTCAGCAATCATGTCCCAGACTTCTTCCAGAAACATTACATAGATGTAACTGTAAGAACTGGTACCTTGTCTATTCATGTGCGTATAATTAAGAATTCCCTGAAACAAGCAAAATCTTCATTCCCAATATTTTTCAATTCTGCTATAGAATAAGCCATCAGAAAATTATTCCTTCCCCCCAAAATAACACAAGGGAATGAAACTGAATATAATACATCACCTTCTAGTCCATGCTGATGTTACCTGATGTAATGTTTTAGCATGTTTTGGAGCAGTTACTTATAGTTTGTCACACATGATCTTGATGTCAGTTTGTTTTACTTTGCTATATTACACACTGCAGTATGGAACTCACTACTCGGTTCTTGTAACATGTGCCATTTGGACACGTGAACTTCCCTTCCCACAGACTTACAGGTTTTGTACACATATTTCTACAACAGTTGACCACAAACACAAAAGATGAGGTACAATGAGTTTCTGAAAGGTATGACAAAAGGGGGTAAGTATGGAGAATCTAATAGGTGTGGGCATACTATTACGTGACCTGGCCTCCAACCACATGTTTTACGTCTATGCAACAACAATAATAATATACATGGGAACAAGCTTCTGCCCTACCATGCATGTGTTATCTACAGTGTGTGAAGGAGCCTTATGAACAAAACCTTACACTGCAGACATTGTACCCCGCCATAAAATAGTGTCTCCAGTTAAGGATTCAAGGTAATATTGCAAAGAAAACGGAAAGGTTGAAGCCTTCTGTGATTATGGGAGAAAGATTTGCAAAATTGTTTACAGATGCTTAGATCTAATGCAATAGTATATGACCAACTCATCTAGAACACTCTGGATATTATTTCACCTCAACCAATCACATTTCAAAATTGTGTTATGTATTAAAAATAATTTACCTGCCCAGTGTAGGTCTTCCATGACCAACCTCCCAGTATACTACATCTTTATGGTAATAGGAGTGGAAGTCCCAACAGTTTTGTAATAATGTTTCAACAGATATCATTCAAGAAGTTTAGTTCCTGGATGTTCACAGAGTCAGTGCAGGCAGTGTTGCTGATATTTTGGAGGTACATGCTGCCACCGTCTTGAGCATCAAGGTATGTAGGACACATGAGTTACTGTATGTATGTCACTCATGTGAAAGAACCACTGGGGCGGGGAAGCACGATGTCCCATCTAGGACAACAGCGACAACGAAGTAGCATGTACCTCCAAAACATCACCAACATTGTTCACATCCACATGCCTTAAACACAAAAAAGCTGAAATTTCCATCAACAGTTAATCAGTGATAAAGCCTAAAATCAGTAAGAAATCATCCATTTGGCAGGAGCCTAGCTGAATGTTAAAGAAAAAATTTAACTTCCTACTTGTCAGAAAGTTAATTAGAAGGCAAACTCTTATTTAAGTCGATTTTTAGCTTATCAGTCAGTGGAAGTCAAGTAGACAGTTAGCTGGAAAGCAAGCAGTGATTTGAAATTCATAATACCTAGTTTAACAGTACTATGGAAACATATGTGAGTGTCTTTACAGTGACGAGTGAAATGACATACAATGAAATTGAAGTTTTGGTCTTATAAGAAAGTATAGCAATTACCAATTTCATTACCTCATGCTTCTACAGTCCTGCAGACAAAATTCCTGAATGTTGTTCAACCTGTTACTGCATCCTGAAATATCTCAACCCTCTGTACTGAACAAGCGAGCAACATTAAAACAAAGTACATGGTGGATTTTTACTTGGTTAACCAGTTCCACAGCTCTGCACTTCACGGTGACCAGTGCACTGCCAGCTGTGAGGTGCATATGAATTTTGCCAAGGAATCAGCAGGCCTGATGGTCGATAACATTCAAAATGAAGTAGTTACAATTCACAGATCACAGGCAGTGTTGAAAATGTTGTCCCTCTACACCCATATATATTTTGCAATCAACCAGACAAAAACTTTCACTGGTTGAAGCAAGACTTCATGTGTTAGATGTGGATTCTGTGAACTCCAGTAGTGATTATTTTGCACACTTACATATCCCTGCAAGTCAAACCACACTTCATCAGAAAAGAATGTCAATTGCAGAGCAGCTGGATCAGGTGACACGAATTACTGTTGTTTTATAGGTTCTAAGCTTTAGCAATTGTGTTGCCATTCTTGCACTAGACTTTGACATTCCAGTATCTTGAGCTACACGTTTCAGTGATTTTCTAGGGGTACTTTCAAGTGTGGCCCCTATGTCATCTAACTTCTCCTCGGGAAGCAATCAGCGCTTATTATTATTATTATTATTATTATTTTACTGCAATTGGGTGTTCACCTGGTGGCAGTATAACTCACACTGATACAGGCAAGGAGAGTCTATAACATAAGGGAATAATACAAAATACTAAAATACAATACAGAAAATAAGGTACACATAGTGCAAATCCAATCATATAAAGTTATAAAAGGGCATGTGCTTGTGTTCGTTTCACTGCACTAGAACACGAAATACTTCACATTACTTCACTTTTTTTCATTCAACTCCACCTAAGGCCTCTGTAATTACAACAGCTTTCCTAACCCTCTTCTAAAAGTGTTTAGTTTACAGGGGAAAGATGCTAGTATGCCTGCGGGTAAACTGTTCCAATCCTTTATGATCCTATTTACAAAGGAATATTTGCCAATATCTGTCTACTGTCTGTCTTGTCTAATGACAGTCCCACTGTTCTAAGTTTATTCATCAAACTGTGGTTTGTCTGCTGGGAACTATTTCATCATGAAATTTACGTCAAAATTTCTGCCAACACTTTTGAACATTGGTGTCTTACAGAAACGCACGCTGCTCTAAAGTATACTGCACCATAATGTACCATTGCTCACTAACTGTGAGCACAAATGGCTAATGGAGCTGATAACTGCTGAAAAATCATAAACAAACTCCCACGCACGAACCACACTGCTTGATGTGAAACATAATTCCATCAAGAGGTCCACAAGTTAATTACCTTCCTACATTCCATGTGTTATCAACCACCAGGTATGCTGATTCATTGGTAAAATTTGTATGTTACTCACGGCAAGCAGCACACTGGTCACTGTGAACTGGTCAACAAAGTTAAAAAAACTTTGTGTCTGGTTGGAACAATGATATGCCAGTGTGGGCTGGTTAGTTACATCATAAACACAAACACAGCGGCTCTATCAGACACTAGTAAGGAAGTCTGACTAGAAGTAAATACTAAAAGAACTAAATATAAGCTTAGGTTACCACTTGATCACCAAACTGTATGACAAAACCATAACATAAAGATGGTTAACAGATCTCTGAAGACATGGAACATTCCAAATATTTGGGAATGGTACTACTAATCAAAATTGCATTTATGAATAAATTATGCAGATTACATTTGAGCAATACTTGCTGCCATCAGTTAAAGACCCTCTGAAGCACACAGAGGGTGTGTGAGAACAAACTGGGTGCTGGGGAGAATATATGGAACGAAGAGCAAGGAAGTAACAGGAAGCTGGAGAACACCACACAATGAGGAACTTCATAACTTACACCCATTATAAAATAACAATGGGATGAAAAATCAAGGGAGGTGGGTGGGACACGCAGCACACATGGAACAGAAGAGAAATGTCTGCAAGAAAACTTAAAGGAAAAAGGCAATTTGGAAGGTCTGGGCATACATGGGAGGATACTACTAAAATGTGGCTTGAAGAAAGAAGATTAACATCAACTGCGTTCACCTAGATCAGGATAACGACAAGTGGCAGGTTCTTGTGAACTGAGTAATAAACTTTTGGGTTCCACAAAATGCTGGTACTTTCTAGACTAGCTACACAAAAAAAAGAAGAAGAAGAAGATTGATTATCCAGCTAGAATCTTGGTTTTAAAAAAATAACCTGCTTATAAACACGGATAAGACCAAAACAATGCTATTCCAATTAAATAAACCGTATGACATTTCGGAGCCAGTTATTACTTTCAAAAATATAAAAATTAATTATACAACACAGTTCAGATTTTTAGGTATCAATATAACACATAATCTAAAATGGAGGTCACATATGCAGCCCTTGTGTCTAAAACTGAATAAGGTATGTTACATTATTAAATCCTTGAAAGATGTAATGAGTTTATATATACTCAGAAATATACACTTTGCCAAATTTGAGTCCTTAGTAAGTTATGGTTTGATTTTTTGGGGGTGGAGAAAGCGAAAATAGCGAAGTACTAAAAATACAAAAGAGGATACTTCACTTAATGAAAGGTATAAATAGCAGAACATCATGCAGACCTATTTTTAAAGAACTAAAGATTTTGACTGTTACCTCTTTGTATATTTTTGAGGTGTTGTGCTATTTACAGAAATATAATTTATACTCTACGAGAAATTCAGATTTATATGAACACAGTACTAGAAGGAAAGACGATTTTCATGTGTCACATTGTAACACATCAACTTATAAGAAGAGTGTTATCAATATGGATACTAAATTGTATAACAGACTGTTTGGAATTAAGAAAGTTGGATGTAGAGACTTTAAACATGGGATAAAAGTGTTTTTACTAGATCATCCATTCTATACACTGTATGAGTTTCTCTTAGAGGGACAGTAGTAAAACTCTATTCAGCAATGGATAGGGATAACAAATGGTTGCTTGCAGTATCATAATGTGTTCGGTGATTGACATGGTCATATGTATGTATGTATTTACTGTAATACTCTTGATATTCTCTTGATGAACGTGTAAGGTTGGCTTGCATTTTGATTTACATATTGTATCTAATGTGACTGTTTATCTGGTTTGATGGTGTGTGTTATATTTTAGTTATAGGTTAACCATGTCAAGCATGACTGTATATTGTTGACAAATTCTAATCCTTTAGGCATTTGGGCAAAAGGATTTCAAGAATGATATATTTAAAGATGTGACTTGTTTGCATGTCACTGTTGTAGCAATTATGAATGCCAAATAAAAATGAAACAAAATACATAACATATAAACATATAACATATAAAGTTGTATATTGTAACACAGCAGGATGCACGAAATGAAAATTATTTAAGAATGTCAAGATCTCCTTTGGATATTCTATGTATAACTGAAATACGCATAGACAGCTTATATTCCTACTGTAGAGCAAAATGCATTACACCTATGTGATCACATTTTGGCTGTTTTTGCCATTTTACTCTCAGTATATATTCTCATTATTAATCTTTGTATCTGATAATATTTCCTTATTTATTTATGATATCAATACCAGAAGCAAAATATTTTTTACCATTAACAACCAAGGTTGTCAATTTATATAAATGGTGTTTATTATATGGGTATAAAGACATTTAATCACTTACTTTCTTACATAAAAATATTGTTAGACGATAAGAATCAATTTAAAAACCCTTTGAAAAATTGCCTTCTACTAAATTCTTTTTATTCACTGAAGGACTTTTTTGATAGTAAATACTAATCTTAACGTTATATTTTTATCCATATGTTTTATTCATCATAAGCTGATTTATTTTTGCATAAGATATATAATCACCTACTTTCTGGCATGAAGACTTGTATTAAATTTAAGATGTTGCCATGTATAAAGTAGGAAGCTAAATCAGACTGGTTTATTGTTTCATCTGACCTATGCTTAATTTCTATATAGCATGTGTATTTTTTACTAATTTCTTAATTGCTATGTTACGTATTTATTGTACATTTTATTGTACAGGTTATCTGTTTGTGATCGGTTCTATATCCGTCAGGCGTACTCTGTAGCCTCGACTGGATAGATGGAATTTTACAATGAATGAATGAAAGAAAAAAAATCACTCTTTTCACCAGATTTTGTCTGCAAAAGCTGCCTTATACAACTTAATTATCGAAATGAACCTGCAAGATTTTTGTTAAGTCATGTGTACCCAGTTAAACATATAGAGTAGAATAAGCATGCCTTATTAACAAAGGTTAATAACTCATCAATTTCTCTTGGACATCCATTATGTTCTCATGATACAAAATACTATGTGGGCTGAGTTCAGGACTGCCTTATTTATTGTAATTTGAATAACTTTCAAGTGCACTGGTAAGATATCAATTCGTAATCTTTCACATATGACACGAATGTCATAAGTATACAGCCCATCTATTTGAGTGAGTCATCAGACCTAATGTACCTACAGCACGTTGCGTTGGAACTACCTCGTGAACATAAAATTATTAAAAACTTTGTATACCTGATAATCTGAAGCTTCCTTTTTTAGATGGTCATATTTGAAACTCTGTCGAGACCTGTCATCAAAAAAACGACCACCTCCAAGGTCATTGTGCTCAGTAATCAATGCTTTATATTCGGAACCTTGAATTTTGACCGGAGTCAACTGATCCTTGTTGTACTGCGAAAATGCAGATGAAGCACCTTCTTTCAACAAACTATCGTTATTCAACAGTACTCTAACATCGTTGAAAACTTCATTAAATTCACCAGGAGGAGAATGTAAGATGAAATTCGTCACAATTCGAACCTTTTCTTGGTCTGTTATTGGTTCATCATTGTCAGCCGCCATCTTATCACCTTTCATTGCAGCACTTACTATCGCGTACTATCGATTAGTCATTCCGAGTAAGTAACATCGCTTCAAAACAGAAATTCTCACAGGGAAACCAACCATACCAATGGAGTAGAACGAGTTGAATATGTTGGATTTCAGTTCTCTTAGCGTTGTCCGACAAAGTTTTATTTTCTAGCAATTAATTGGGTGTCCACAGTCTAGTGCCGCGCTACAAATTGATATCTAAGGGAAAGTAATTCTATGTTCACAAACTACTACTGAATTACAAGGTCAATAAATCACACCAAGGCATTATGGAAAATAATAAAAAAAGGTATGAGGTAATTATCGAAAAACAAATCAAAACATTTCTTTAAAAACAGGATCCATAATAGTTACAAATCCTTAGTACATATCCCATTAATTTAATGTTTTTTTCGTAGAGAAAGTGGTTATATGAAAATAAGGACTCTAAATTTGGTCATGATACTGTTAATAATAAAATATTAAATTTCAGTTCCACGTTTCTCTCCACAGTTACTGACGATGTGATATTAAAATGTACCCAGTAAACTAAAAGGTAAATTTTTAGCAGGCTATGATGAAATTCCTGAAAAGCTAGTAAAAGATAGTATTCAGTTTATTAAAGAAACCACTAACCTTTATAACCGATATTTCATTATGTTCTGGAAACTTCCAAGATTTGATGAAATTTGCTAAATTTCGGCCTATTTACAAAAAAAAAAAAAAAAAAATCCAATTATTGACCAATTTTAATTTAGCCTTTTTTTTTAATTCTTGAAATAATAATATATAAAACAGTAGTGACCTTCCTAAAGAAGCACAACGTGATATCTGAGGCAGTGGCTTCAGAGAGAAGAAATCTAGTAATACAGCAACACAAGCCTTAATAGAAGATATCCAGGAAACACTGGATAATAAGCTGTTAGTTATGGGCATGTTTTTAGATTTAACTAAGACCTTTGATGTTCATTCATTCATCTATCTGTAATCTGTCAAGACGACAGTTCCACAGTCTCTTCCAAAACAGTTCCTCCACTTGATGTGATCTAGAGCTTTCTCCGTCAAATGAAAATATCCTCTTCTGTCCCCAAGGTCATCCAGTATCTTCTTACGTCTTCTGGTCACTTTTATCTGCCCCTCTATTTTTCCTTCAATAACTTCTTTTAGAAGGCAGTTACCGCGTAAGATATGAACAATGCAATTAGCCTTCTGTTTTCTTATTTCGTGTAGGATATTCCTCTGCCCACTGACTCAAAATAACACATCTTCATTTCTCACATACTCAGTCCAACTGATCTTCTCCATCCTTCTCTAACACCACATTTCGAAGCTTTCCAGCTGTTTCTGATCTACTGCCTTGTATGTCAAAGTTTCAGCCCCATACAAAGCAATGCTCCAAACGTAAAATTTCACTAGTTTCTTTCTCAAATTTAAGTCCAATTTGTTGGTAAAAAGATTCTTCTTGCTAAATGCAGCTTTTGCCATGGCAATCCTAGATTTAATTTCACACGTACACCTTCCATCATCTGTTAACAAGCTACCAAAATATTTAAAACATTTCACATTCTCCAGTTGTTTTTGGTCTATCTTTATTGTGACTGGGTTTGGTTGTCTCAAAATTTTCATTACTTTTGTTTTTTCTACATTAACTTCCATGCCATAGCACCTTCCAATTTCGATTAGTCTCTCAATCATACCCTGTAGCACAGTTTCTTCCTTAGCCATTAACACAAGATCATCTGCATATTTCACAGTTTGAATAATTTGCCCTCCTAATTTGAAGTCTCCAAGCCCGTCCAGAGCTTCTTTGGTAAGGCATTCGCTGTACAAGTTGAACAAAATTGGTGATAAACAGCATCCTTGTCGAACTCCTCTTCCAATCTTCACACTTCTTGTCTCCCCTCT